TCTCGAACATGGTCCCGCTCGTCGTTCTATTGTCGGCCCCGTAAGGGGACACGTGACCGTAATGGCAGTGTTTACCAGGACCAGGACCAGGTGTGTGTGTGTGTGTGTGTGTGTGTGTGTGTGTGTGTGTGTGTGTGAGTTTGTGTGTGTGTGCATTAACAAGAGCACACATTGCTTGAGTGGATGGTGCGCGGCCGGCGAAATTGAATTGCATTTGCCCGGGGGCAAGTAATAGCAGGGTTGGCAAGAGCCAAGAGCCCACTGATGCATTCAATGGAGAAATGGAGAGCCGCCGGGCACCGTTTATTGGGGTATACTTTATAAAAGTAAGCATGTGAGGATAGCTATGGGAGTGGGAGGGTGGGAATGAGAAACAAATAAACTCACAACCAGTCACCACCATGAACAATTCTTGAGAAGAGATTGTCAGCAAGGGAGCAAGGAAATGGGTCGGCATTTTCGCGTCATGGTAACCGGACATCAGTATGGTTGCTGACGTCATGGGCACGTTGTGTGCGCTGGGGTAAATGTGAGTGGCAACACTGACAGTTGTGCGGCGCCATGCCTGCGTGAGGACACGGGGCAGCAGAGACAGTTGTGCGGTGCCATGCGCCCGCGAGGACATGGGGCGGCAGAGATAGGCGTGCGGCCCCACGCGCCTGCGAGGACAAAGGGGCGGCAGAGACAGTTGTGCGGCACCATGCGCATGCAAGGGCATGGGGCAGCAGGGGCAGTTGTGCGGCACCGTGTGCATTCGAGGACATGGGGCAGCACGTACCCGCGGCGGTGAGCTGCAATGATGCCAGCTGTTAATGAGCATAAACGCTGCGCATTAATGCGACATGTGTTTATGTGTGCGTGCATGTGTGTGTGCATGTGTGTGTGTGTGTGCATGTGTGTGTGCATGTGTGTGTGTGTGCATGTGAGAGTGTGTGTGTGTATGTGAGTGCATGTGTGTGAGTGCATGTGTGTGTGTGTGTGTGTGTGTGTGCATGTGTGTGCATGTGTGTGTGTGTGTGCATGTGTGTGTGTGTGTGGGGGGGGGGGGGGGGTGTTTGTGCAGGGGCGTGCTTGGCGAGGGGCACAGGGGCAAGTGCACCCCCAAAATATTTCGACCGGGGTTTTGAAAAGTCACCAATGTATTGCGGAAAGCCCGACTTCTCGCGGGAGCACATGCTGCACCTGTGTCTTGCGCATTGTACTACATTGTTATTTGTAGTAAGTTGTAGTGCAGTAGGGCTACTAGGGGTCTGGTGCGCGGCGGCCTACATGCAGCCAGGCACTCCCGTACGTACAGCCTGTCAAGTGTCATTTGTAAAGTTTTCATCCTTTATATTGAAAAAATTGATATGATGCTGTACTGTGTTCATTCTTGATGACATACAATCTTTGTAACAGTAATAATGACGTCACATGTACAAATATCTGATGATGTCACCGGTACAACATTTTGAAAATTGCTGTTGTCTGGAAGTGGTGCACCCCCCCCCCCCTGGAAGGGGAGCCGAGCACGCCCCTGTTGTGTGTGTGTGGTGTGTGTGTGTGTGTGTGTGTGTGTGTGTGTGTGTTTGTGAGCGCTGGTTCCGCAGTACCAGAGGTTTGGCGGTCCACAAGTGCCCCAACTCCCGGATGCTCCCCGCGACATCGTCTCGGGCTCCGTGCCGGGCGGCGGTGTCTACCATTGCTGCTCAGGCGACTCCTCCGCCGCCGCGTGTGCGGCTCACCCTCTCATGCTGCAAGGCCCACTGTGGGGCCTGTGGTCGGTACTGCCGCTCTACTCGTGGATTCCAAATCCATAGCTGCCGAAGATGGCTCTCTCGTCGTGCCGATTGAACATGGTCCCTGATCTCTCGGCAGACTGCCGACTTTCTGCCGTCGCGCGTCGTTTCCATGCTGTCGGCCCCGCGAGGGGACACGTGACCGTAATGGCAGTGTATACCAGGACCAGGACCAGGTGTGTGTTTGTGTGTGTGTGTGTGTGTGTGTGTGTGTGTGATGTCTAGGTCATGTCGGCAGGATGGCTGACTCGCGCGCACCGAAAAAATTGCTCTTCGGCGAGCTGCCGAATGGGGAAGATCAAGGTCAAGGTCAAGGTCAAGGTGTGTGATGCTATTGTTGAAGTTAATTTATATGTCTATGTGTGAGTAGTCTGTACATGTTATGATGTATATGTCTTTGTGTTGGTGTTAGTGTGTGGGTGTCAACATGTGCAGGGCATGTGTGCGTGGGGGGGGGTCTTAATCTGTGTTCACAACTGGCACGTGGACGCGGCACGCTTTCGGTTCAAGCGTGTCAAAACCGGTGCCCAGGCTTTCACAAAAAAACCAGCGATCCGAGTCGCATTTAGCACATGCGACGCCTTCGAGTACTAATTGTTTGACGCCGCCGGTCAGGTGGCATGTACGCCGGTGCGCGCCTGATACGCGCTGAAGTTTCCAACATGTTGGAACTTCCATTTCGCCGAGTTTCCATACGCATGACACCCAAAAAGCCAGCAAAAAATTCGCACAAACGCGTGGCTTCACTCGTACCATATTTCCCCTAAATGCAAGTCGCACCTTTTAACACTATACTTGAAAAACAAAGAAGGCGATGGTGCGACTTACAATCCAGTGTGAATTCATACTCATATGAATGTATTGATAAAATTAATTTTGTTTCAGAACTTAAACTGGGTTGCAACTTATAATCAAGTGTGACTTATAATCAAGTGTGACTTATAATCAAGTGTGACTTATAATCAAGTGCGACTTATAATCAAGTGCGACTTATAATCAAGTGCGACTTATAATCAAGTGCGACTTATAATCAAGTGTGACTTATAATCAAGTGTGACTTATAATCAAGTGTGACTTATAATCAAGTAGACTTATAATCAAGTGTGACTTATAATCAAGTGTGACTTATAATCAAGTGTGACTTATAATCAAGTGTGACTTATAATCAAGTGCGACTTATAATCAAGTGACTTATAATCAAGCGCGACTTATAATCAAGTGTGACTTATAATCAAGTGTGACTTATAATCAAGTGTGACTTATAATCAAGTGTGACTTATAATCAAGTGTGACTTATAATCAAGTGCGACTTATAATCAAGTGTGACTTATAATCAAGTGTGACTGATAATCAAGCGTGACTTACAATCAAGCGCGACTTATAATCAAGCGCGACTTATAATCAAGTGTGACTTATAATCAAGCGAGACTTATAATCAAGTGGGACTTATAATCAAGCGCGACTTATAATCAAGCGCGACTTATAATCAAGCGCGACTTATAATCAAGGGACTTATAATCAAGCGCGACTTATAATCAAGTGTGACTTATAATCAAGTGTGACTTATAATCAAGTGTGACTTATAATCAAGTGTGACTTATAATCAAGTGCGACTTATAATCAAGTGTGACTTATAATCAAGTGTGACTGATAATCAAGCGTGACTTACAATCAAGCGCGACTTATAATCAAGCGCGACTTATAATCAAGTGTGACTTATAATCAAGCGAGACTTATAATCAAGTGGGACTTATAATCAAGCGCGACTTATAATCAAGCGCGACTTATAATCAAGCGCGACTTATAATCAAGCGTGACCTATAATCAAGGGCGACTTATAATCAAGCGCGACTTATAATCAAGCGCGACTTATAATCAAGAGCGACTTATAATCAAGCGCGACTTATAATCAAGCGCGACTTATAATCAAGTGTGACTTATAATCAAGTGTGACTTATAATCAAGCGCCACTTATAATCAAGCGCGACTTACAATCAAGCGCGACTTACAATCAAGCGCGACTTATAATCAAGCGCGACTTATAATCAAGCGCGACCTATAATCAAGGGCGACTTATAATCAAGCGCGACTTATAATCAAGCGGGACTTATAATCAAGAGCGACTTATATAATCAAGTGTGACTTATAATCAAGCGCGACTTATAATCAAGTGCGACTTATAATCAAGTGTGACTTAGGCTGCATTTACACAACAACGCTGGGGGCGAAAAGGCAACGAAAACCTTTCGGATCCATGGTTCATTTACACGGTACGCGGATCAAAACGTAAAGGTTGTACACCAAAACGGAAGAAAACCAAACCGCTGGCCAAGGTGGAAGAATTTGAAAACGGAAATGTTCTGCCGGGAATATTTGAATGTGCAAACAGTTGAAACGGAACTGGGCCTCGGAACCGTCACGCTTGCATCGTTTTTGCGCGTCTACACGAAGCGCGAAGGATCCGGAAAAGTTCATGTGAGGAGTGTCGTCGTATGTGTGAGGTCCACAGCGGCCACGCGGGAACAAAATTTCTTGCTTTGGGGCAAGTAGTAGTTGGGGGATTATTATTATTAGTAGCTAGGGCCCCTCACGAAAAAGTGGACGCACGTTGGACTATTGGACTAGAAGTGTGTTCCATCAGTCGCGCGCACCTTCTCTTCTTCAGGACAAAGGAGTTTGCATCCTGTGTTTGTTGTGTCATGCTGTACATGGTAAGAAGTAGTAGTACTGGTGAAACAGTATTTATGACAGGCTTAAACTTTCTTCACCCCTGTCCTGTTACGAGATTGACGCGGCTAGACTGACCACTTGCCAGTTGAGTAACATCTTGTGAAGATGCGTCCTTTTCCGCTGGAGGAACAGGAGAAAAAGAAGGCAATCGTTGCAGTGTGATTCATTAATATGAAGCTTGTGCGCAGCCCAGGCGAACACCATTGTGCTAATGGCAAGCCGATGCCAGTCACAATATCAGCAGCGGATGTCGGAGCTCATGCAGTGCTACTTGATGGCAAGGCAGCAAATAAGTAGCTCAAGGCATGTGTGCCTATGAAGGCCAAGCGACGGTATTGGGTTCGGCCAGGACGAACAACGGCTTGTTGGGATAATATCCGGACTGGAGTTTCACCTGACCTTGAATACAAGGAAAACCTTCGCATGAGTAAGACTAATTTCGACTAGTTGTGCGACGAGCTGCGTCCGTACATCGTGAAGCAACACACTAATATGCGGGCATCCATCACCGTGGAGACGCAAGTTGCTGTACTCTTGTATTATGTGAGTGATGAAGGCCGCCTCAGCAAAACAGCCAACGCCTTCGGTATCTCCAGAGCGTCAGTGAGCATCATAGTCCGCCGAGTATCGAAGGCGTTCACGCTATGTCTTGGCCCCAAGTACATTGTTTTGCCCACATCGGAGGAAGCAGTGGGAGACCTCGTCAAGAACTTCCACAGACAGCATGGCTTCCCACAGTGCATCGGTGCAGTTGATGGCACGCATGTGGACATCAAGCAGCCGCAGGATCAGTCAACTGACTATATCAACAGGAAGGGCCGGTATTCCTTAAACGTCCAGGCAGCATGTGATTATCGCTATTGCTTCATGGATGTAGTGGTAAAGTGGCCTGGGAGTGTCCATGATGCGTGTGTGTTCGCTAATTCCCGGCTGAACCAGTTCCTGAAGGAGGTACGATTCCTCCTTGCCCCCGAAAGCTCCTGGATGACGAGAATGCCATCGGTGTGTTTCTGCTAGGCGATGCGGCCTATCCACTGCTGCCATACATTATGAAGGAGTATGTTGGCAGAGGCTCCACCTGTCAACAACAGTACTTTGGCTTTACACTCTGTCGCTCCAGAACGGTCATTGAGTGCGCTTTCGGCCGCTTGAAGGCACGGTTCGGTATGCTTCGACGAGCAATGGATGTCAATATGGATGACTTGCCATCCGTCATCTATGCTTGCTTTGTTTTGCATAACTATTGTGAGATGAATGGCGAGAGTGTGAGAGAAGAGCAAGTGCAGTGTGCTTTGCAGTGTGATCAGCACTACCAACAATCAAAGGAGCCCCCCAAAGAGAGTAAGAATGCAGAGGGGAAGAAAGTCAGGCGCATCTTGACCCGTTACTTCGATCCGTAATCAGTGGGACTCAGTCATCGTGGCAATCATTCTACTTCTCAGCCCTAGTCTCGTCACAGTTGCAAGTACACAAGCCTGACAAGGTACTCTTATTCCTTTTCATGTGTTCCTTTTCTTCTCTTGTACTCAGTTATTTTGCTTCATGTTTGCTCACTTGCGTTCAGTGGTAGTTGTGCAGCTGCTTAGCATACTGTACTTCTGTCTTGATCCTGCGTCCAATTTGTCTTCATTGCTAGCCATGCACCATATTATGTGTATGTTGTCATAATTTTATGATATGGCCGGCGATCTGCGAAAATCACCCTTCGGTGAGATGTAAATTTTTCGAGAAAATCGCGATTAAAGATTGATCACTGAAGCGTGACCAAGCGCAAACTCTGACAGCAGGTTGTCTTTGGACAGTCACGATGGCGGAAGGTGGAAGACGGTGATCGCTGGCTCAAACCGTTGCAGGCTTCTCGGTGGATGATACTTTTGCCCTTCTGGACCATGGACGATGATCTCTTATTTTTTGGGAGCGACATCGAGTGCTCAGATGAGAGTCCTGACGACGAGCCAACTGAGCTCGCTACGACAGAAGCGCTAGAGAGTGATGCGGAGGAAAATGTTGATGAAGCGGCGCCAGCGCAGGCCGATCAGCCTCTAGCTGCAAGTGGTCCCGGTAAGCGAAAGCGAAAAGGTCAAGCTGCGACTGTGTCAACACTTGAAGACGTTGTCGCTCACGTTGAGAAAGGCTGTGGGTGTCAGGGTGCAAACTGCTTCACTAACGTCGCACCTGACGACATCCCGCGCGTTCGCAACATGGCGGCGTGCTAGGAGCTAAGCAACGAGAGTTTGTGCTGCTTGCTGGGAAAGCTGAAAGCTCTAGCGAGACGTGGTGAAGAGTCTCATCACGTGGCGGCAGCCCAAGCTGGCGTCAGAGGTCGGATTACGTGTGAGTATGCTTTTGCTGGAACAGAAGTGTGCAAGGCTGTGTGTATTCATGCACATGACGCAACACTAAACAGAGCATACAATGAAGAGTGTCCAGTTGGGATAGACCACTCTGGGTGACCACACAACTACTGTACTGAAATCTACTGTTCATGTCGCCTCCTTATTGCCTGCTGGTCCGCCTCCAAGTATCCCGCCAGCACGATTGCCCAACCAACGTGCAGAATACCTCTACAAGCAGATTTGACAACACTGCGGCCATGAGGAGAATAGAGATAATAACTGCCCAAAGCTATATGTAGCAGCAGGTGCTTCACTGCCAGAAGAGCCCTAATTGGACTTGTGTCCACATTGCCATGTCAACAGTAGTTATTTTTCTTCTCTCATTGTCTGTAAAATAGCATCACGAAAGCAGAAAACATCAGAATTTTTTGGGCTCTTTCCCCAAATTCTGCACTGGAGTGTCCTAGACAAACCACCTCATATATCCGCAAGGAGCGGTCAGACTGCCCTGAAACGTTGGTATTTAGAGTAGCATGGATATGTGGTTGTTTTCCATAAAAAAAAAACTCATTTTTGCCAAAAAGTCACCAAAGGGTGATTTTCGTAGATTACTGGCCATATATTTGTCATTTTTTTCCTTCTTCTTTTACTCTGGTTTAATTTTGTTTGTGGAGAAGGCGGAGAGCTGGAACGCAGTCATCTATGCTGGTGGTTGTTTTTTCTTATTATTTCACGGAGAAGGCGGAGAGCCCGAACGTGCCGGTAAAAAAGCCAAAAAACCAACGTGTGTTTTCTTTGGTAGCAACATGGTACTTTATAATGAAACATGCAACAGATTGTTCATGTGTGTGACAGGTATGAAAGGTGTACTGTCATGAAATACCTCCTCTCATTTCACAGAGCATACCATTGCGTAGCTAGTCTCACATTTTCTTCACTATGCCTTAAGTACAGTCGATAGTTGCGACGAGATACTTCTAGGAATAATTACTTACATGTATAGGAATGAAATGAAAATGGTGAACTGCACACTCATTCTAAACACACATCAAGGCAAAGTTGGTGGGTTAGTTCCGAGAACGTTTTCTTGTGATATTCGTCTGGCGAATATCACAAACGATGAATATCGTTAGAAAACGTTGTTGGAAGTAGCCCACCGACTTTGCCTTGATGTGTGTTTAGGATGGGTGCGTAGTTGATCCATTTCATTTGCTATAATGTTGTTTCCCTCGAGGTTAGACGTATTAGGTTAATTTTGGATTATTTTTACTTAAATACCGGTATTAGATTTGGTTAATAGCAAGAAATCTTCCTATGGTGGTGTGTGTGTGTGTGTGTGTGTGTGTGTGTGTGTGTGTGTGTGTGTGTGTGTGTGTGTGTGTGTGTGTGTGTGCGTGTGTGTGCGTGTGTGTTATGTGCGAGTGTGCATGTGCGTGTGTGTGTGTGTGTTTCACTGGCCAGAAAAAGTCACTTCAATCAGCTGTGTGGTGGATACCAGGCTAAAAAATAGTGGCGGTCAATTCATCAGCCTTGCAAGCTGTTGAATAGTGCAATCCCAGCACAAGTTGCTGTCTAACATAGCTGTTCGCTATCATCACTTCCGCGATGGGCATGTCTGAGGTGACTGTGTGTGTGTGTGTGTGTGTGTGTGTGTGTGTGTGTGTGTGTGTGTGTGTGTGTGTGTGTGTGTGTGTGTGTGTGTGTGTGTGTGTGTGTGTGTGTGTGTGTGTGTGTGTGTGTGTGTGTGTGTGTGTGTGTGTGTGTGTGTGTGTGTGTGTGTGTGTGTGTGTGTGTGTGTGTGTGTGTGTGTGTGTGTGTGTGTGTGTGTGTGTGTGTGTGTGTGTGTGTGTGTGTGTGTGTGTGTGTGTGTGTGTGTGTGTGTGTGTGTGTGTGTGTGTGTGTGTGTGTGTGTGTGTGTGTGTGTGTGTGTGTGTGTGTGTGTGTGTGTGTGTGTGTGTGTGTGTGTGTGTGTGTGTGTGTGTGTGTGTGTGTGTGTGTGTGTGTGTGTGTGTGTGTGTGTGTGTGTGTGTGTGTGTGTGTGTGTGTGTGTGTGTGTGTGTGTGTGTGTGTGTGTGTGTGTGTGTGTGTGTGTGTGTGTGTGTGTGTGTGTGTGTGTGTGTGTGTGTGTGTGTGTGTGTGTGTGTGTGTGTGTGTGTGTGTGTGTGTGTGTGTGTGTGTGTGTGTGTGTGTGTGTGTGTGTGTGTGTGTGTGTGTGTGTGTGTGTGTGTGTGTGTGTGTGTGTGTGTGTGTGTGTGTGTGTGTGTGTGTGTGTGTGTGTGTGTGTGTGTGTGTGTGTGTGTGTGTGTGTGTGTGTGTGTGTGTGTGTGTGTGTGTGTGTGTGTGTGTGTGTGTGTGTGTGTGTGTGTGTGTGTGTGTGTGTGTGTGTGTGTGTGTGTGTGTGTGTGTGTGTGTGTGTGTGTGTGTGTGTGTGTGTGTGTGTGTGTGTGTGTGTGTGTGTGTGTGTGTGTGTGTGTGTGTGTGTGTGTGTGTGTGTGTGTGTGTGTGTGTGTGTGTGTGTGTGTGTGTGTGTGTGTGTGTGTGTGTGTGTGTGTGTGTGTGTGTGTGTGTGTGTGTGTGTGTGTGTGTGTGTGTGTGTGTGTGTGTGTGTGTGTGTGTGTGTGTGTGTGTGTGTGTGTGTGTGTGTGTGTGTGTGTGTGTGTGTGTGTGTGTGTGTGTGTGTGTGTGTGTGTGTGTGTGTGTGTGTGTGTGTGTGTGTGTGTGTGTGTGTGTGTGTGTGTGTGTGTGTGTGTGTGTGTGTGTGTGTGTGTGTGTGTGTGTGTGTGTGTGTGTGTGTGTGTGTGTGTGTGTGTGTGTGTGTGTGTGTGTGTGTGTGTGTGTGTGTGTGTGTGTGTGTGTGTGTGTGTGTGTGTGTGTGTGTGTGTGTGTGTGTGTGTGTGTGTGTGTGTGTGTGTGTGTGTGTGTGTGTGTGTGTGTGTGTGTGTGTGTGTGTGTGTGTGTGTGTGTGTGTGTGTGTGTGTGTGTGTGTGTGTGTGTGTGTGTGTGTGTGTGTGTGTGTGTGTGTGTGTGTGTGTGTGTGTGTGTGTGTGTGTGTGTGTGACGGCACAAACCAGGTTTATGCTATGGAGTAGTGGGTGAGTCATTTTGGATGTTTAGCTGCTAGGAAAGTAGGTGTGTTCGAATTTTACGTCATAGCTTTAAAGGCGCAGACGTACGGTAGCACTCTTTTTTTGGCACAATCGCATTTTGATAGAACATTTTCTTTGTCAATAGTAGCACACCTGATTCCATACAGCGGACAAGAGGATGATGATAATTATCAAGAAAAACGATATTAAAACTCTTTCAGAAGCATTGTAAAAACGGCGTCATGTGCCTGTTACCATGGTGGTGTGACCTGGTAAGCCCGAGGTACCAGAACCAATGGTAACTTCCGGGATGGTGTTATACTTCCATTCCCAGCTCAGGAAACATACTCATATTTCAATGTAGAACTGTAGGTAAAGTATAGGCTACTTATAACATGTCCTTCACGCTTTCAATGCCTACTGAACTTGATCACACGAATCCGGAATGGTGTGTCTGCTAGGAAGGTTCCCATGCAAGAGCAATGCTTGTTGGCTTAAATGCCATGCGGATTCCAAACCCAAGAAAGACGTGTTGCACTTTCAAGCCGCATTTAATATTGCATTTACCTGGTCTGGCAATATGATTCAGGCACGT